GAACTGCTACTGTCTTTACAAATACTAAAAAGTAAGCTTATCATGTATTTTTCTAAATAGCTCTTGAATACCCACAATAAATGTCAACAATGTATTCTGAGTGGGTCTCCCTTCGTCATGATCTSCGWGCAGAGAAAGGAAACAAGAGYGTATTGGCCAATTTTCCRAAGCCAGTTGGTCGTGACATTGCTCATACTGTTGCAAAAACACTACTCCAAGARCAAAGTACTGATGAAAGGAAAAAGCTCAACACTGTGGCTGAGGTAGATTGGGTGATGGAGGTGTTTTGTTATGGTCTGTCATTACCTATGACAGAAGGGGATGGTGAGGTAATCAAAGGATGTGTCAATGTCTATATTGACTGGCTTAGTGTCCTATTAATGGATGAACAAAAGCAAGGAATACCAGACCCTCTTATCAAAGAACCCATTAAATACATCAGAAAAATCTTTCAACATTTAAAAAACCTCTTCTTAATAAGGGTTGATGATGGCAGTAACCTTGCCCTTCAGGCCTCACTATGCATTCGAGTGTTACAATTTTTCAAAGTCGTTGCAAGTGAAAGCTCACTTTCTGCTGAAATCTGGGACGCAATACTTCGCCTGATGCTTGTCATTAATGAGAAACTTTTGTCCCCACCCTACAGCTCTGGGGGACTTTGTGAGCACCTGAGAGAGATCCTAATCCATAGTCTGTTAGAAGTTTGGTTGTATGCAAGTTTGCAATATTTCCCTCCCCCATCAATGTGGAAGACATTGCAAGAAATGTGCATGTCATGGAGRCACCACAATGCAATGATCGAGTACTGGAGCAGTACATCTTTGCTACTAACAAGAAAAGTTATCAAGCATCTTTATGGGAATTCATTTTCRCTACCTTCACTGAAAATAAAGAAAAATGATGTTTGTCTTCCCCCTATAATGTCTGGCAGTACTCTTCTTCAATGCTGGTTCCGARTTCTCCACATCATTGGGAATCCAGTGGACTTATGTAACAGGGAATTGATCAGTGATACTCCAAAATTCAAAGAGTTTGCATTGTCTTGTGAAGATGTCACATATCCATCAGCGCACCCATGTTTAGATTGCCTACCACAGATTTTTCTACATGCAATGAAAGGCATTGCAATCATGGTGAATACCTTCTTAAGCATTACCACTACCCATGAACAACCTGTGATGCATACAGCAATCAATGCACCAAAGAAAGCATCCAGTCCATCAGGATCTAAGAAGCGAGAAGTCAAGACACTCAGCACTGGTCTGGCATTAGGTCTTGGAGAGCAAAGAGGCTTAGGAYTGCGCTCTATGACAATGCCCTCAAGACACAGTAGTGGATCAACCTTGACAAGCTTGTCACCAAATGAGGATTCAGAAACTGGCAAAGAACCATCGACACCTGCTTCRRCTTTGTTTTCAAAGCTGCCCAATAGTTTCTCATCYCCATCAGTTGATAGTTTGCTTGATCTCTATGGAGCGTGGCTGTTTGAAGCTGCRTTTGCTAAGCTTGATATGGCGGCAAGTTATGATGCAATTGCAGAGATTTACAGTAARTGCTGTGATGCTCTGGATGAAGAAGATGTTCCACCAAGTTCCCCAAGAAAAGTGAGGTAATTATAGTGTTAATACAGTACCTTATGAGAATAACTTTAACATTGATTGTAAAGAAATCATTGTGACATTCTCTCATAGTGTTGAAAGCAGTAGCAGTCTTCTTAGAAGGGACTTTGCTGATGAGACCAGTTTYGAACCAGGAAGAGCTGAGGCATATGGAGTTCTTTGCCGTATCTTTTGTAGTCCAAGATCAGAGCAGACAATAAGGCCTGTCTACTTATCTAGATTCTACCTGGCTGTTGCAGTTGGTCTCCTTCATGATGAGGTAATGTCATACTGTACTGTATTTGTGTTAAGTGTGTGTAAATTGTAGCTTCCACCTCAAACAACAACAGTATTTTGTATGTTTTTGGATCCCTGTGGTATTTTCTTGCGCTTTTGGTTTCCCTGTGGTATGCTCTTGGCCGAGCAGGGGGCTTGTGTATCACCAAGATCATATGGGTCTGGCAGCTTAGTCATACAAGGAAGATAGCAAAAAAAAAAAAAAAACGAAACGAAAACAGTGTCCAATAACTTTTTGTAATGCAGACATGTACTGGCCATGTACTGTGCAGCATTCTACTCAACTCTCCAAATCTACTGCGCGTTGACCTTCAAGGAGTCCAAGTACTATTACCTCATCTTTTGGCTGCACTAGAGATTGTATTGTCAAAACGGCAAATCAATCTTCTTAGGTAAGTATAATGCATGCAACATTTGGTAAACATTATATTGTGGTATCACCTAATATATTTGTGCATGACTAATTTATTTCTTATACACTTTGTTTTTATGGCAGATGTCCAGTTTCAATTACTGAACTACGCAGAGCAGCTATTCATTTACTTGTGTCCATGTTGTGTCTTCCTCTGCATTTTCAGTCATTGCCTATCCAAGGTTAGTGACATTGATAAGCTTACTGTAGAAGCACACAAGGGGCTGGATGAGTTGTGTTACTGCTTTTTTTCTCGGTTTCAAGCCTATGAAGAAGTCGACTGACTGCAAAATTGTACGAGTATTGTTCTGGATTTACACAGAAGAAACTTTTGAATTATCCAAAACTGATTTGGCRAGTAAAGTCTGATGTAAAGTTTGAGGCTTTGTCTGTTGTATAAGAGAGGAACCGTCCCCTTGTCCACCCCCCTGGAATCAGAAGTGTCTTCTCTGATTTAGCACTGTAATTGTTGTCCTTTAATTAAAATTGCTTTTATTGCAGACATGACTGCTGGATTTCAAAAAGCAAAGCAGCCTGCAGGCGATGCAGGATCCGCTGAAGCTACGACTCTAACGTTCCTTTCCTTGAAACCAAGAATAACAAGACTTCTTCTTGATGCACTTCAAATAGAATCAGATTCTTACAATGTACAGATCCTTCTTGGAGGTAAAATAAGTATTTTCCTGTAATTGTTATTTTGTATTTTAATATGCTCTGGKTTTGATTCCAATACTCGCGTCATCACGTTGTGTTCTCGGCGAAGGACACTTCACTATTTCAGTGCCTCGTTGCCTTTTGGAAAGGACGGAAAGCTAGAGGTTCTATCTCTCTGCTAGTCTCTACACTTCACATACGTCAAGTACTGTAAGCATCTCAGAAAATGACAACTTAACTAGGAACAGTGTCCGGAGTTCTCGGTCGTGTGGTCAGGGTTAAACTGCACACGACCACGCCAACCTACACGTGGATATTCTTCGTGTCAGCGAGATTGCGCACTTGGAAATATATGTTTTTTATTTCCCCGTTTTTATGCTTTGGTTGAATACTTGAAAWTGTATTTTTCTTGTTAGCTTCTTTTCCTTATTGTCTGACCCTTATATAATCATTCTTCATTCCTGTTTTATACARAAATTCCATTTTTCCCTTTTCCTTTCACATTTCATTCTTTCATTATAAACCATATAGCCAACTCGTTATTGATTTTAATGTCAGGTGTTTCTGTTCTCGTGCAAGACACAGAAATGGCWCACTCTATGGGTATAACACAACCTCCGGCGCACTACCTTCCAAATTATGAAGACAGAGACCCTCCAAGCTGGGTAGAGATCACGGCAAGAAATAGAGCGAGAGCTAGCACAGGGGGGAGCAGTATGCAGTCAGATATCAGCACGTTTACTGATGAAACAGAAGCTAAGCTAACCTACGCTAAAGTTACTAATGRATCATACGGTAATGRTTTAAGTTATGGTTTGCAACTATTTCAAAAAACGTTGAATACAGTGATACTGCATAGCGTATTCTAAGACCGAAACGCATTGTTGCTATTGGATTCCATGAAWTTTTCCTTACAAAACGAAATTTCCAAACTCAGAGCGCACAATTCTTGCAATTATGTTACCGTACTAACTAAAAAAGGAATAAATAATAAATAAATAAATAGAATAAAGAAAGAATGGGTAGGATAATAGAAAACAATTCAMAAAAGTGCAAACTTTAAATTATGTGATATTTGAACGTTTCCTTCATTCGGACTTCTTCATAAAAAGGATTACGTAAACATAAGTAGAATCCAGTAATCAGCAATAAAATCAGGAATCCAACTTGGAGCGTCACAAAGAATTATTTAGAAAAAAGAAAAAGAAAAGAAAAAATTAAACCCTATACGGGTATCCACCTTTTACCAACAACTGGAAAACTTTGCACACTCTACTTAACTAATCTACATATAAAGAAATAATTGTATGAGGAAGTAGCTGATCCCATTAAAGAGTGCTCAATACACATAAAGTGTAGAGCTAGTTATATATATAATATCAAAGAGGCAAGATTTTGCTGTAACTCCGAGTTTCGTGCTACGCACTCATCAGACAGTATTTTTTTTTATAAAGAAATATATAATGTTTGCATTTAGACCCGACTACTGTGTGTGGACTGTTCGTTCAGATGACTCGCCTGTTGTGCAATAAACTGGTTGTAACCAGAAGCAGCAAATGGAAACCTGACTTACACGTGACACTGGCGGCTTTTGAAGTATTGTCAGGATTGGCACAACTAAGCATGGACTACCTTGGTGAGACGAAAGTGTTATTGTACATAACCTTCATGATGATTTTGATGTTACCATGGTGATATGAATATATCTGTGTAGTTATCGTAGTAATATACAGCAATATGCAGAAATTCTGACCACTCTGACTCATATTTCAACTATATATAGAATATATCAGAAATTATGGGATATCATCGCTGATATTTTTTTCAGATACTACTGATCCTAGGCAACTTCGAAAAAATATCAGTGACCATATCCCATAATTTCTGATATATTTTATATATAGTTGAAATATGAGTCAGAGTGGTCAGAATTTCTGCATATTGCTGTAGTCAGGTTAATATAGGTACTTGATAATKATGAATTAAAAGGCCATGGTTGACCGGCATGTCTTATGAGCTTTTGTTTATGTTTAAGAAATATAAAACGGCGCGCGTTTCTCTGTCCACCAGACCTTCTTGGTAATGGATTACACAAGACAGGTGTTTTTCTCTTTTCCTTCCTTTGACACATTGCGCACGCGAGAGGACTGGAGACGAGTCAGCGGAAGAATGTCTACAGTACAGTATTATTAATAGTGATGGTGCAYATTGCAAAAGTATTAACCTACTATACTTAATGTTTTAGATCCAACAGAGTCAAAGAGCACCATACACTGGCTGTGTGACTACGTATCGTTACAGGCAAACAAACCCGCCACTCATCACTCACGTGATCTACACTCCATGATCGTAGCAGCTTTCCATTGCATCAAGACTTGGGTTATGGCACATCCACGTTTGTTGGACTCCGAGGTGAGTCWYTGAGTCAGGTTTTGCTGCGCAAATCTTTTCCCCGTCTTGGGCTATGAGGGTAATAAGTTCAGTTTGTTGCCTTTGCGCTGATTGRCTKGTTGCATTTCCKTTATTTACCTAGSATGAAAATGAGGTAATTCTTGCGATATTCTTGAAAGCTCCCGAAACTCTCGAAATCGCATTTAACGTTATCCTTATTTGAAAGAATAATCCATACAAAATCTTTTTATGTTTAAGATAGATAACAATCATTATTTGTCATAGGATTGTCTCCAAGCTGTCATGGAAGTCGTTGAACTTGGTATTTCTGGAAGCAAATCTAAAGATGCAAGGACGGARCCTGAACAAGAAAGGGCAGAACCATTATTGAAAGGTCAGAATGCTTTCCTCTCGCGAAAAACACTGGGAACTCTMAGACAACAGCGAAGTCATTTTGAATTAACATTTTCATAATTATTTTAGGAGTTAAAGAACTTAAACCGGTATCGTTTCGAGTTCGTCAGGCTGCCGAGGGTCTCTTAACGTGCATAATGGAACATTTGGTAAGTATGAACCTCATCTTTGTCACTCTGCTCCAAGTTATACGCCGAACTTCTCATGTGCCAAATACAATTTACTAATTGTATGCAAGTAAGATTCGACGTATAAATCAATAAAGTTTGACAATGTTGAATTAAATACGACTTCAGTCGAATCAGCGACTGAAACAGTCGAAGATTACGGCAATGGTGCGGCAGTTAATTTAACGTCGCATCTCACATGTTGATTGCAAAATGCACTGCGTCATCTACTTCTTATAATACTTCGTATGAAAAAGTAGTCTTTGTTATCCGCCATATTGGATAACATATTGACCGGGAAGGGACTGGGGTTTATACTATGTTCGTATGTCCTACTACCAAAATGGCCGCCATAGCGTTGTCGAACTAGTCCATTGACTTAAAAGGTCCATGCTTCTACCTTCAAGGGTGCGTTTCCTTCACCTTGCGGACCGTCTGCCCAGTCTTCATTACTCAACGAAGAGTCATTACTGGAGTATTCTAGATCAAAGAAAGGGMTTAGCAAGGTAACAATCTGTTTGAATAGTGCAGCTTGGTTATATATTGTAATATGGACGTGCTTATTCGCAGAGTCAATACCTGGAATTGACCGTTACATCCAGTGATAGCAGAGAAGGTCTACTAAATATTAAGTCGCAGTCGAGTCCATAGGCCTATGTTAGATTCACAGAGCGGGCAAGCACATTGTGCCTTTACAAATACACTTAACTTCCTACCGTGAATAAGGACATATGTAAAACCGGCTCTTTATGATTATACCACAGATATGTGTGTACGAATGGCACGTTGAACCTCAAAAGAGGCTGCCGTAATGTCTACATAAAGTTGTTATCAATAGAAGATGAGACTTCTTACTATACATACAGCTAGCAACAACTATGTCACTTAATAATCATTGAGATTTATTGATAATTCAATTTGGTTTACAGAACGTTGGTCTTTTCCGATACTTTGCGATAAGAGACAACTCCTACATTCTAGGAGTTCTTGAAGATTCACTCGAGACCAAAGGTAAGAACAGACCTTAGCTTGCGACAAGGAGTGTGTAACTCGAAATTTTTACTCGACGTTCGGACCTCAAAGTTGTTGCCAACCTTTTTTATTATTATTGATTAGATTCACTTCCTACCGTGACGTCAATCATCCGAGCACCGACCGGTCGACATGTCTGGACCATGGAGCTTCGACAGTTCTCGAGGAAGAAAAATGTGAGTTTGACATGAAAATTCTGATATTACAGGGTCGTGACATGGGATGTGGGATCATAGGGAATCAGCGGTATTTTTGGGGTCAGGGATAATAATTTTTGATCTGGGATCATGATCACAAGTACTGGGTTCGGCCTGAAAAATCTGCAGATGTGAATGCATGGGATCACTCACAAATTTTGTGGGATCAGGGATCATATATTTGAACAAAGATTGGGATCAGAGATCATTGGGATCGGGATCACAAGTACTTGGTTCCTCCAGAAAAATTTGCAAATATGAATCCCTGATCCCAAATTGTTTGGGATCAGGGATCAAATTTGAACAAAAAATTAAGATTATGGATGAAGATTTTGGTAAAAAAAACGGGATCGCGAGTAAGCAAAATATCCCATTTCTCGACCCTGGTTTAATATTACGCGAAGCATGCTCTGCATTGTACAATGTTCGCACCTTGAAAAAAAGGCAAAGTTTGATATTGTTTTCTTGTTCTGTAGGATTTAATTGAAGCACATCTAACTGATCCTGGTCGACCCATGCCCCTTSTTGATCGTCCTGCAGCACCCAAACCAGTCGTTCATCGATACTTCCCTGTTGCTGTGGATACAGTACCGCTGACCAAAGCGTAAGTAAACTTGGATGATTTCCGAAGGCTTCAGCGGACGGTAAACAAAAAACGCTAGCAATTGTAATGATAGTTGCAADACTAAGAAGGACAAGAAAAAAGTATTCGGTTTTGAACATGAATTTTGAATGACACAATGTTTGCATGCTGGTACATGCCGAATCAAATGATACRACCTTTATATCAAGACACTTTGAAGCATGCTTTAATGACAGGTTATTCCGTTGGGGAYTCCATGGTAAAAGTAACGGGGATGCTCGTCAGAAATTTTCGAAAAGTCCCCTAAAAGATCCAGGAAGTCTTGAAAAAAGAGCGTAGCTGACTGATTTTTAACCCCTAAGAGATTGCACAACAAATATTGTTGAATTAAATCAGTTGCAATGATAAAAACGCAGAGGAAAATCAATATCGATGCGCTCTTTCTCTTCTTTTCCGACAACTTAAGAGGTTTCAGAAAATGAAAATATCCAGAAAATCCAAATTGGCACCCAAAAAGATTCCCAATCACAATTTTTCTACCCCTAAGAGATCTGACGAGCATCCCCGGTAATTTTACCCTGGAGTCTCCCGGGAGGTTAGAAGCTCTGAAGAATGTAGTAGCGAGGATACAAGTAGATAGATAATGTTAGTTATGTGGATAATCAATGATTACTCGATGATCACTCAACGATTGTATTYATGTTAACAGAGATGGAAGTATTCCAGAGCTAGACGCAATATTAGACAACAAGCTTAGCGAAGTACAAGACCACATGAGGACCTTAATGCAAAAGCAGGTAAGGACGAATCGCCTGCATGATATATTCGCTATACAGGGAGAGGGCGAAATTCCGAAGCATGAATCGAACCATGATCCCAGCGGTGAAGGACGCTAATTGGTTGACCCTTGCCAAATATTCATAGTATATTTTATACTTTTTTCAGGACGAGCACGAAGCAGTAGAGCAAGCWCGTGTTGACCGAGTAAAAGCACAACTTCGTTTCCCCAGTGCTGAYACTGAAAGTGTCCCACTTGAGTAAGAAACATTATGCAATCAGACTCTCTTATTGGTGCATGAAAGTGAGAGAGGGAGAGGGGGGGAGGGGTGGGTCCTACTAAGATAGTTTTGCCCCATAACAGCCGGTTTACCCTACAAAATAATCAGAGGCCGAGAGCAAAGGAAATGACTAGGTAATGAGATCAAGCGTGCACATACATAAGCACAGCAATAGTTTTTTGCACGGTTCACTGAGCCATATTGAAAGGTAGCCGTGCCTTTACATCGAAGTGAGACAACCGTTGAGCTTTCAGTGATAGAWACCTGTGAATGATTATCTGTAAGTGTGAATGAAGGTTTCTATAATTGCACGCTCAACGCTTGTCTCGCTTCGATGCAAAGACTATTATTAACATTGCTTATGTYGAAGTTTGAATCGGCCCAAACTCCCAATTACTTGGAAAGTCTTAAGACTCAAGTTTTAGAACGTAATCGTCCTATTGCTACTTTCAGACCATGTGATAGTTTTCGTGCATCAAGACTCTTCTTATCGCACCATGGCCTTCTAAGTATCGAGGGACTGAAGGTAAGAGGTAACATAAATACTAGGGGAGGGGAGGGAGAGGGTTGGGATATTTGCGAGACCATCATTTTTTGAAACTTTGCAAAATCGATKATCACAGTACGAAATTCGATCAAAAAAAGAGTCTTGGAAAATGTGACAATGGTTATGATATGCAGTTGACTCTCTTTGAACGACCACTCTCGTAAGCGACCATATCCCGTATGCAACCACCTTTTAAAATTCCCGTTATAATTGCTTCTTATATAAACTCTGTAAAAAAAAACTCTCTCGTAAGCGACCATCTCTCGTAAGCAACCATATCCCGTATGCAACCACCTTTTAAATTTCCCGTTATAATTGTTTCTCATATAAACTCTGTAAAAAAAAAAAAAAACTCTCGTAAGCGACCACTTTCTCCTGATCCCGAGGTGGTCGCTTACCAATGTTAGGATTATAAGCAGAGAAGCGCGAAGTTTGGGTTGAAAAAGCACGCAAAARTTCGTCAAGGCTCCGGGGAAACACTAAAAAATCGTTTTGTTGCCCCGGAAGAAAATTGTAGATTTAATTCAATTATCCTCAAAAGTCGTCATTTTCSTCTTTATTTTTTAGGGCAATCCTGACGACTCGTCTGAAGACCCATCTCTTATTGCACTCGACTCGACAAGACTGGGATTCCGAGCGGCCTTGGAGGATTTGGACTCTTTACCTACCAGGAAYCAAGACACTGTGTTCGTGTTTTACGTCAAGTCAGGTCAACACGATGCAGATGAAATCATTGAAAATGAGGTAAGAGCTTTCAAACAGAAGGAAGGGMATATTGAAATATAAATGAATTATGAATGATTGGACAAATGAGGAGATATTGAATAGTTTAGTCTCACGATCTCTTGTGCACTGCGTTATCTTGAGTTGTGTGTAAAATATGTATGAAAATGTAGGTAAATCTCGCGAGATAATCTATTTTTATTGAATTCTATACTCACACGTCTTTTAAATTTGGACGGCTGTTTTTGAATAAAAGAATATATTACATTGTTTTGAGGCTAACACAAAGTAAAAGAGTTGGTTGAAAGAGTCTTTCAATTTCTTGTTTAGTGTCTCCAGGGCATACCATAGTTTCTTAATCGGTACTGAAAACAATAGATTTCAAGATGGCGCTCGTGTTAATAACAATTATTTTATCGCCAACAGATTTCATTGTTATTTTTTTGTAACATTTTGGTAACATTTGTTCTTATCGCAGATAAACTCTTGTAAACACAGTAAACTTTTTATCGAATTCCTGCTGTCACTTGGTTGGCCAGTTGACTCCGAGGTGCACCCTGGTTGGAATGGTAACGTGCACAAGTCGTGGATACCCAACGAAGACGACTCGAAAACTAAAGTCCAACGAAAACAAGGGATTGAYCAGTCCACCATGTTGGCMAGCAGCATGTCWACCATTACTAGTAGYACTTCGACAATGGGTCGTGATGGGGACATYACACCAAGTTCCGACGARGAAAGTTGGTTTGTGCGTGATAAATTTCTTACTAATGTTCATAGAGAAAGCCAAGATAGCGAGGTCACGCAATCTGATCAAGTCACACTAGAAGATTCCGGCACACAAAGTGAATCTGCTTCTGATGTCGAGTCGGTCACTCAGGTAGATGCTGCAGGAAAAGACGACTGTGATAGTTCCATTACACAGAATGYCACGCAGAAGGATTCTGATTCGCAAGAGGATTCTGGGATACAAAGTGCTGAGTCTGCTACTCAAAACAACCCCGTCACGCAAAGAGAAACTGTCACACAAAAGGATCCTGYCACACAAGGGGATTCTGTCACTCAAAGACCCGCTTCAGAACATTTCGATTCTTCGACAATTCCCGAGGCCAAAATCACAAGTCCTGAGAAAAGTTTCGACAAGGAGGTTAACCAAATCCTCTACTACGCYGACATCAGTGGTGAGATCGCTTTTGTTGTGCCCGCGTTACTGCCTCAGTACCAGCGGTTTCGTAAAATGATCGTCAAAGGCGAAAGTACGTCGGATGAGGATAACGAAGAGATCGASGAGACGCCGAAGGAAAGGCTGCGCGCTCGGTCGGGKAGCATGGGTAGCCTCGAGTTCAAGAGTGCCAGTACGAGTAGCATGGAATTGAGGCTGCCTTTATCAAGGCAGGCGTCAGACGGGTTTGCAGCCTTTGGTAGTCGAAGTAGATTTCCTGATACGCCTCCTGAGACGGGGTATGTAATTATTCACATTACCCAAACTTTCAATTTTTTTTTTCTTTGAAATGAAAAAACAAAATGAGACGAGAAATCCTTTTCTCTCTACAGGAAGCCTTTGGCGAAACCTAATGTCCACATTGCGTCATCAGAGACTAGTGTKATCGTAGCTTGGTTGGAGCATTTCCCCGACCATTCGTGTTTTCCCATCGATGATATTCTCTTCCAGATGGACTTCGGTAAYAACAACGCGTTAAGTGGGCTCGTTGATAATAATGCAGTGGTTATATTTGTCCATATTCTACAGAATGGACTTTATCGTGTGCATATAAGGTCTACTATAAAGTAAGTATAATATAGCAGTCAATAAAACTTTCAATGGTCCTTCATTCTGATGACGCCATGTTTGTTTCGACGAAGTGCAGTATGGTATTGATAAAAAAGTAAAATGGCGGATGCTTTTTTGAGGAAGTTTCTTTGCCAAAGTTAACAACCACTGTTATGGTTGATTTTAAAAGCATTTTAATAAGATGGTCTGGGAAACAACTAATGCTTGTTGCTCTAACAACAGCCTTGAACATAGTAACATGGCGACAGCTTGTACTTTTGTCAGTTTTATATTGTATCTTGTCGAACATTGCGTGACGTCATTAGGAAAGAGGGGACCATTGCTAATTAAATAAACCGCACAAATACATGAAGGCATAGATYTAGAGGAACACAATGTAGAAAGTATCGGAACTGATCTATTTTATGTACCGATTGTGATTGCGAAACGTCGTTAAGTCTCACCGTTTTTTTCTTATCTAGCATTATGTTTATTATTTATTTATTTCCCAGATCTCCTATAGCTGGGCCATTGGTGGACGGAATGGTTGTCAGTCGGCGGGCACTGGGTACCATGATTCGACATACAGCTATGAACATCGCTAACAGAAGAAGACTAGAGATTGATTCGTAAGTAATTTGGGYAATAAACCCTTTTAGTGATCTTTTTTACGCTGTGTTAGCCTYAAAACCATGTAATRAATTCTTTTATWCRCAACARCCCGTKYAAATGCAAGAGATCCGYGAGTATAGAAGACAATGAAAACAGTTTGAAATTTCACTGGTTTTATTTATATTTCTGAATATTTTGGTGACAATTGAGGCTAACACAGCGTAAAGGAGATCGCGAAACTCAACTATTAAAACGGTGCACCTGCAGTTTTCTCTCGCCTACACTTTTGACAGTGCGCAAAGGATGAAGGGAAAAGGGAAGAGGTTCCGTGATCCTTTGCGTATCACCACTTAAGTGGATGACTGATGATTTAATTATCAATATCACTAGATATTTGATAGTATAGTTTGGCATATTTTCCAGTTCCAGTTCTATGTTGTTTAGACAAATTGGCTGTTGGTTGATTTAAGTTGAATAAAGTCCAAGCCATATAATGCTAAATAGCGCAATATAGTGTAGATTAGACGGCAGAAAGCACCAAGGAATACACCTTTTCAGCTGTACTTAGGCCTCGATAGCAAGTTAATTAATCTTTTGAATTTGACAAATGAGACTATTCATATCAATATTTGCATTGCTCACATTCCTATACAAATTCAATAGAATATTTAACATGCTGTCAAGGCCTAAGAGCAACTGAAAAGGTGTATTAGGACAATTCAATTCAGACTTGTTCCTAGTTTGACGTCACTTCATTTACATTTTGATATTTTAATAATTGTATGCGAAACAAAAGTTGTAAAGTCGATACATTGAAACGAAGAACTTTTCAACAGATAGTAAATGTTTATAAAGCAAGCTTTAAAAAAGCTTTAATTAACAAATGTAAATAAAACGGCGCGCGTTTCTCCCCTCTGATATAAACACGGTGGGAGTTGGAAAGCACGAGAGAAGCAAGCATAAAAACCAGAGCGTAGCGAGTAAAGGACACAAGCGGCCGTTTTATAGTTCTGTTTTAAAATTTTTCTGCGTTTTTCGAGCGAAAATCAWATGTTTCCGGTAAGCCGTCTCTCTATCCTCTGATATAAACACGGTCGTCAGACAATCTGAGCGCGTGTTATATATCAGAAATTTTATACTGAAAGGTTAATTAAAAAGGGTTAAAAAGGTTTAATGGGTTTAAATTGTTTAAAAAAAAAACATTTTCACGCTCAGGGGTGATAGGAAAGGATGTTGTTATAGAACTGAGCAATAATCGCTTTCAGACGTCGGTCTTTGTTTTTAGTAAAATTTTAAAAGCTTTATATTTGTCTGGTGGTGAACGGATATCCTCAAAACCCTGCTGGATATTGCTAACTTCCTTAACTATCCTTACTTACGCAGTTTTGCGCAATAGTGACGGTTTATCTAACGATTCGGATATAAAACGTTTGAAGGGTCAATTACCAGCGCTCATCGCAATGCTCTAAAAGTTTACAATGGCGGCATATTGTCGACCCAATTATCATATACGGCGCCAGACAGCAGTACCACTGAATGAGCTCATAGCACTCGCCCTCATTAAGTTTTGTTAAACACTTTGTGTTTAAGGACTATTTCCGTTTTCGTAACTCATGTTGACGACTAACCCTAGCTCAAGGCGAAAAGATCACGTGACTCTTAAGTATTTGCTTCCTTTKGAGCATGCGCTGTTGCAATAAATGTGGAMTGATATTGTTCTTCCATTTCATATAGTGCATTCTGCGTGCATTAGGTGAAATTCAAGGACTGAGTAATACAGTGCAAATTCTTTAGATAATTCCAAAGAATAAAGAACAATCTTAAATCAATATACCTTTACTTAGTAAGGATACAATATTATATTCAGTTCTTATTTATTTATTTATCTATTTATTTATTCATTTCCTTAATGTTATAATTAGCTATAGCTAATAAAAGGGAAACCGGTAAATGTTTTCTTACCTTTCCCAAGGAAAGTATATATATGTGCCTGTGTTGAATTTRYAGGTACTCGCCGCCGTCAGTTTGTCGCAAACTGAAGATTCAAGACATTGTCAAGAAATTTCGCCAGGAAATTTCCGTCCCGGAATTCTACGTTTCGTTTTTCGGCAAAGAACACTAAATTAGCATTCACTGGTAAGTGATTTTTTAACAATATTTCAATCTACGATGTTTTTGCTTTATAACGAACGAAGCTCGGCTTCTAGTGTAATATTTAATCTTAGATATGAACGCCTTCCCGCCCGTCGAACAAAACAGGGCGATGCAACATACAACTTAATGTATCTAGATCATCAAAAAACATTCTTAATTAATCAAACGCCTTCAAACTCCATCTAACAGTAACATGTTTGATGCTTCATCCAGCAACATCCAATAGCATCAAACAAAGTTGTAAAGCGTTTTATGTTAAATCGGCAATTTTGATTGGTATTAGGTGATACAATTTTTTCTGTTTTGTTATAGCTTAACTCTTTTCATCATTGTGTCTGTCGACGTTTCGTAACGTTGTTGTATGTAGCTTCATTCACGAGTCGCTCGACGTTGGTGGTGTTTGCACGACTGATAGAAGCGTTACTAACATTTTTTAAAACTATATAGTCATACTGTAATTGCCAAAATTTTGTCATAAGGAGAGACAACATTGTAACTTAGCAAAAAGAAGTTTATAAAACACACACACGCACACAAATCAACAACAACAACAATCAAACAAAGATCACTCAGATCGAACGTTTTTTTGTTTTCTTTTGTGTATTATTTTTTTCGTGAAAGTATTCTATGTTTTATGAAAACATTTAGGYAATTAGGTATAACTACACATTTACTGTTGTAAAATCGAGGACAGTACACCTGATTGCAAAAAAACTTGTCATATAGAAATACTACGCTTTTGCTTTAGCAAAAAGGAATCCACTAAAAAGTCGAAAGAAAGCGAATTTTGATTGTGTTGAATGCTTTTGGATGAAACAATAATGTTGGATGGTGTTGGAAGGCATTTCGCCACCCATTAATTGCATTTGATGTTGTATCTCAAAGCTAGTGTTGGATAGTTTTGTGTGGACAAGYATTTTGCATTTTCGTCTGGATCTATTTGATTTGAGATGTTGAAAACGATTCGTTTGGCATCAACTATTTTTTTTATATAATTCTATTCGATCCTATTGAATAGAATCTTATTCGATCACCCAAGAATGCTCAATAGTATTTGCTGTTTTGGCCGTGGCTTAAGAGCGTCGTCAAATTTTTTGATTATATATGTGATATATTCTCATTGTACATTTTCCAAATACACAAATACTGTAACTACAGTATAGAATTATTAAATGTTTATCATGTAGGTGTGTAATMAATATTTAAATATTTCCCCTGCATGAGGTTACGCATATTACGATAGCATCTCATCAAAACGTCCATAAAAAGCGTGGAAATAATACCATAAGAATAATTACATCGACTAAGTG